TTACAGCAATCCCTTACTCCGACAATGCATGTACGCTTTCAGGACGACTGTGTTTCACAAGATGCTGGCTTATTCCTGAAAATGATAATAGGCTAATGAGCTGCTCAGTATGCAGCAAATATAATTTTGCATTTGCACTTTTTTGTTATGAAATTAAATACAATTCTAAATTACAACTTTTTTGAATAAAACTACATAACCCTTTACTGTAAAATTATTTACATTTAAAATAATGTGTTCTTGTAATAATTCCTTTAAAATACATCAGAGCAAATTTTTTTTTTTTTTTTTTTTTTTGGCAGTTTAAAATATGCTTGGCTAATAAATAATTTTATCTTTTGTTCCACTTCGCTGGTGAAGTTAATTTCAGACCCTGAGCACAAAAAGGTAAATATCTGAGGTTGTTCAGAAGCTCACCAGCAGGTGGTTTCAGTAGGTCAAATAAATCAATACAGTCACAGGCATTCTGAAGGAAAGGCAGCACCTTCAAATCACCACAAGAGGACAGCAGAGAGCGACAAAGAGTGCACACACTACAGGCGTATGGCTGCAACATGCTCCTGTTTAAGAAAAAAGTGGGCAGAAACAAATTTTTTCCTACTTTTATTGTTTTTATTAACACTCCCCAGGTTCTTCCATTCTCCAAAAATGTACATATATGAATTACCTACAGTGTATCAGCATGACTTTGTGTAACATTATAACTGGTCCATTACGCTCCCTAAAAATTGTCCAATCATACATCTTAATCAGCCAACCTAACCTCCGGCTTGAAAGTACCAGTGTCACCATTCTAACGTTGATTTTATCTGATCCTGATATTAGATTTACCTTATATCTAACACAGTTAAAGTTTAAACAATGGATCTATAAAAAAACAAACAAAAAAAACAACAACAAAAAAGCAAAAAAAACAGACAAAAAAAATCAAAACATTTGATTTTGTAAAATATTTGTGAGTGATCTTTTTGAGTCATCAAGGTTCCTTCATGGATCCATTTCTTATGAGGAGGGCTTAGGCTTATGGCCTTATGAGCTGCCCTGTTGATTGTTGTGCCTGCACTGTGCAGGAGATGGAGACATAGTGCAGGATATATAAGCCCCTTCCCTTTTTTCAGCTCTCACTCTCTAGCTGGCTCACTATCACTCTGTGCCTCCTGGTGGACATGCTGCTGTCACTCTGCTGATTCTCAGCCATATTTCAGTTTTTCTTTTCTTTTCACATCCTATCATTAACACATTTATATACATAACACATCCAAGCAGTGGACAACACCA